TTGGTACACTAACTAAAGATGACTCAGATACTACGCCAGCACACTAACGATTAAGTGTGGGTTCCATGAGAGGAACATGTGTGTGTTTATGGTTCCATGAGAGGACTAGGTATATGCATTTGTTATCATATGGGACATGTTTCATGCATTGGTTTATTTCACGATACTGTGACTGAGAGTCTATGTACCATGATTTTAGTTGTATGTGATTGGCATGCATTTATAGTATTGCGGGTTGTGCATATGAATCCAAGGTGAGAAATGGGAGTCTGAACTATGTTATATTTGTGATTATAATTGTAAGTTAACTATTTTGCTAAGTTGTGGTTACTAGGTCGGGCTGATGACTCGGGGTTTGGTGCATAGTTTAAATGAGGAGAGTGGTTATGATTGTTCGATTTTTTGAATGTATTTGATAAGGGGGATTTGAATGAAAGGTGTTTAGTGAAGGTCTTGCGTATGGTTTACCAAAATGGGTCAAGTACCAAGGTGTTGTCATGAGAACTTGAGGAAGATTAGTAGGTTGGTTAATATAGTTAGTAGTTAGAAGGGTTAGGTTATGATTTGATATGAGGGTGAATAGGCTTGGGAAGCCTTAGGGTAACATCACAGGTAGACTTGGGAAGCCTTGGGGTAATATCGCAGGTAGGCTTGGAAAGCCTTACAAGGCAAGGGGGTTGCATTTTAAATATTAAAGTTGACAGCAGAATGAGGTAGGAGGTTGGTTTCAAAGTGCACTAGTTTATGGGTATTATACCTGGGATGATGAAAGCACGTGAATAGAAACTTGGGGTGGTGTAACTTTCATATTACATGTTCCCTATTGAATATCTACTTATATAATGTGGTAGGTTCGGGTCGACTGGTGATGCCTACTTGTACGTGTGTTTATACTAATACTACTCTTGTGATGTCACTTGTCATAATCTAGATGAGGGTCAGTGATGTTTCATAGCCCCAGACAGTGATAATCTCCGACAACTTTCAATTTTCCTTCTTTATTGTGGAAGTTGTGTCTTATTTACTTGTATAAATTGTACTCCTCTAGTAGCTCTTATACCTATTTAGACTAGTTCCTTGGGGAGTTTTTCAGTCTCTTGTAAAAAAGGGTTTTATTAAAGTTCGGTGTTTTATGAAGTTTTAAAGTGCTAAAGATTTTTTGTAGTAAATCATTCATTTCCGCATGTTTTAATTTAGATTGTGTGGTAAGGGTTCTCCAATCTAGGTGTTAGAGTAGGTGCTCGCACGGCCCGGTGAATTGGTGGTGACAAACTATAACCATAACTATTAAGTATATTATTAAAAGTGGAAAGGTTTCTAGTTCAAAGTAGGATTAAGAAAATATCTTTCACCAATTTTTTTATATTAAAAATTTGTTTACTAACTTTTAAAATTAAATTAATGATGACAATTAAACTAGACCAAACATATGGTTAGCTTACAACTTAGCATTTTCACTTCTTAATAACTTTAATTGTTAAACATTTTAGCTTCTACTATTAAACACATTCATTCACAACATTTCATGTACATAATTTTTCCCTTTATAAATTTAGATAGAAAATATTAGTCCACTACACTTCGTATCTCATCATCATCTTATACAACACCCGGAAGGGGGATAATGCAACTGAAATAACTTTTTACACAATAAATTCTTTATTTTATTTTACATTACATTTATATATTTTGACTTAAATATTTTAAATTTTTTTAGATGAACTAATATTAAGAATTTGAATAAATTAAACATTGTCTTTTAGAACAAATAAAAGAATTAACTAACTAATAAAAGAATTCAATCAAATTAAATTTTGGTTGAGAGTATTTTTAGACCAAAAGGTGGAAAGAGGGGTATCTTTGAACCAAAAACAATGGTGGGGGTATTTTTAGATTAAAAGGTGAAAGGAGAGTATTTTTGAGCCATTTTCAATAGGTTAAAGGATATTTTTGGCCCTTTTCCTATTATATATTAGAAAATTTATCTTAAAATACTAAACTTCATTATATTAGCCTTTAATTGTAAGTAATTTATTTCAATAACATTTTCAAATGAATATCTTTTTAATCATCATGCATTCTTTCTATCTTCTAAAGCTTATTTTTATAGTACTTCATTACACATTAATATTATTTTCTTTTTTTCCTTGTTTTCAGCATTTGAAATAAACATGTAATGACACTTTCCACTTATAAATAGTTTTTTTTAAAACTATTTTTATAATTTATTCTTGCCAAATTTCTTAAGTTATGTGGACTCATGGGACGAACTTGGTAGGACACGGTAAAATAAATGTACTATCTTACTATCAACAAGAGTTAGGTATTCCTGAATTTTTGTATACTAGTAGGGGCCCAACGTGCAATGTAAGTTCCCAAAACTAGTATATCGATGAATGTATATGTATGTTATCAACGTTGCTTGACCAATCCATTAATATGTCCACCTTGTACCATATGTTTCCTGCTAGCTTGGTTCATAAGTTCCTGGAGGTCCCACGGGTACTGGTTACCGCTAGGGATGGCAGAATGGGTAATTTATATGGGTACCCATTTAAATTACCTATCTTAAGTGAGTTGGATACTCAACTCATTTGAAATGGGTAAAAAATGAGTTAAACTCATATTATCCATTTAAAAATGGGTAGTTAAATGGATAAAATGGGTGAAAGAGACTCATTTATAAAAGAAAGAAAATTGACATCAATATTTTTTTGAGGTGTAGGTGGTCAAGGTAGGGATGGGTGGAGGAAAAAAATTGATTTTTTTTTTTAAAAACAATTCTTTTGGGGGGTGGGGGTGGGGGAGGGGGAGGGGCTGGTAGGGGGGTAATGGTGGGGGGAGTCAGAGTAGTAAAATTTAAATTTAATATAAAAAAACAAATAAAAAATAATAATTTTTGAGTTGTTGGGGTTGGGGTGGGTGGTGGAGGGGGTTGGGGTCGGAGTTGTACAAAAATAATAATTGAGGCATTGGGGTTGGGGATGGGTACATTAAATTAAAAAATAGATTATATATTTTATTGTGGGTGGTCGGGTGAAGAGTGGGTAAGAGATTTTCTTTTTGAAGCTTTTAACATGATCCCTATAATAATATGGGTATCCATATTTACCCATATTATCCATTGGGTAACTTGTTTTTACTCATTTAAAATATGAATCGAGTCGAATATTTTATCCATTTTTATTTAATTCATTTTCGATTCACTCATATTCGACTTGATCCACTCGTTTGCCACGCCTAGTTACCTCATTAGAACACCATTAATTTGCTTACAATACCTCCTTAGATAAAACCTATTCCTCCTTTTATATATATATAAAGACAAGGAATCCAACACAATTAATTAAAGAGAGTATATCCCCTAAGGATAAGTATTGAGCCCTAATGGCATGCCAAGTAAATAGTTGGCAAGTCTTTGTCCTACAAATCAATTAGAAGGAACGCAGTAGCTTCTCCTATTAGGAATAGAAAAATTCTGAACTAAGATATGATTGCAAACATTATTGAGGTTAGACTCATGGACCTGATTCACCTCCTTAATTGGGAAAAGACTGTTTTTCCTCCAATCAACACACAACCTATATATAGTTTCAAAGACGAGAATGATAATTCTAATAAAGCTAATTCTTTTTGTTTTTCATAAAACAAATAATATATTCTTGTGTTTGTCCATCTGTTATTTATAGCAATCCTTATCATGTTGAATATTTTCATGAAAATAATAAATAGGGATGGAGAAAGAGAATCACCATGTTTAAGACTCCTTTCTAAAAGGAAAAAAAATAACAAGTTCGTAAAGAAAACTTGACAATTTTGATACATAAATCAATCCATTTCAACCATCTCTCACTAAATCTCATTTGCTTGAGGATGTTGAGCATATAATCTAATTGACACGATCATATGCTTTTTCTATACCTTACACATAATGCCTAGGTCCTCCTCTTTCAATCTAGAATCCACACATTCACTGGCGATGAATGCAACATGCATAGACCATAATATGTCTTCCTATTATGAAGAGCCATCATATGATTAATTTATAGACCTCACTCATAAAGCTTATAGGTCTATAATCTCATTGGTCAATTGTTCCAATCTTCTTTGGAATGAGGGCAATTGAGGCTTTTTTTTTCATACACTTAGTAAATGTAAATAATGCCTAGTGCTCCTTCAAAATCTCACAAAGGATTGGTAAAATGTCATTGCAAAATCATCAGGGCAAGGAACCTTGTCACTTGTAGAAAGTCTGATCCTGTTAAGTGTTGAGCCTTCTTCCTCAAATTTCCTGTGTCGCAACTCGTGTTCCTCGTTGCTAATTTCTGGAGCCTCCTGTATATTGAAGTCGTGTCTCCAATTGCAGATTCCGTAACAAGTTGTAATAGAACTCTTGTATGGTAGACTTCATAATTTCATGTTCAACAATGGACTCCCCTCTACTTCCAGTACATCAATAGAATTGATCCTGGCAATTCTATGAAAATATTTTGTTTTCGTCTCCACTTCTCAGCCATTGTATTCAAGACCTTTATCTATAAGCCGCCTCTTCATTTTTAGCTATCTCCTCAAGTACCATTGCTAGATGTATTTTCTGCAGCATTTCATCCTCTGCAAGAAGTGAAGCCTCTGATCTTGAGTAGACTTGAGTTCAGACATCAGAGAGATGGTTCAAAATATCCTCCTAATGTAGTCAGAAAGTTACTTTCGCATTGCCAAGATATACAATATTTCTTAATGAGGACTGATGTGTCTGCTAAAGAGGGAAAGAAGAAGTGATGCTTCTTCCAAAGTATCTTCTATCCATTCGTTCATATTGTCAAAAGAATAAACAAGTACACAAATACATCAACAAAGAAAAGTGAAAGAAGAAACAAGCCTCGCCTCTGTAATAACAACTAACCAAGCAATTTTCTTTTAGCTGCTCACGGAAACCCAAACTAAAATTATTGTCATCAAGACTCCCAAAAGCTAAGAGAAATCACAACAAACAGCTTACAAAAGCGCAAATGCAGATTAAATTGCACCAGACGAAATAACTTGGAGACAAATGACAATACTATTCCTAGAAAAAGAATGAAGGTTCAGTGGTGAACCAAATATACAGGTATAGCTTCAATGTTCAGAATGTGTCTACAGAGAAAACAAGTTTCTACATGAATCTTTGACATAGAGCACTAATAGTCATCTCATCGGTCATTCAATAACAATTAAAAGAAAACCTACCTGAATTTGTTTGAAGCTTATTATCCTGCCCTCTTACTAAAATAAACTGATAAATCCCTAGACTGAACTGAACACACAGAAAATAACATTCAGCTCAGTAAATGTCATTTAACTGATCAGCCATCTGAAAAATGGAAGTGCCAACCAGTCCTGACGATGAAAGCCTACTTTTCCCGCAAGGCCAAAATTCATGCGCTGCTAATGGAGAAAAGTACAAGAACCCCATTCGTTACAGGTTCATCCTACACTGCCTCCGATCGGTTGACATAACTGAAGGCACCTGCGGATGTAGGATTTCAGCTTGAAGCTGACACCAAGGACGGATGGATTGGGTTGTTAGGATGAGCACATCTTGACAATAAATGCCTTTGCAATCATCAGTTTGAATCGGTTCAATATCAATACATTCCCTTGAATACGGGATTTGTCCGGCATATGCTAGCTCCATATTCCTCGTATTCTGCCTTTGTATGGCAAGCCTAACATAAAAAATATTCAAATTGATCATCAAAATGAGATTTTAAATTCCCCTATTTGACCGAATGCATAAACCAGTAAATGCAAGGATTAACTTCATTTTGCAGTAATTAACTACAATCAGATAAAACCTAAACTAGAAGCATTAACATACCGCAAAAAATTCAGGAGTTGAAGCCAGTACAGAACCTCCAAACCAAACTGCATATCTCTGGATAGGATTGCTGACCACATTCACTTCAACTGGTTGTGCCTGAGGTTGAATTCCAGTAGTCAAGCATCCTTGATATATTGGAGACTATTTATTCTTCTCCTAAAATTCAAGTGAGAAATGGAAGGGGAAAACACTTACTTTGACATTTCCACCTAACCGAGCATCTGATGCAAGAATGCGGTCATCCACTATCTTTTTGAGATCTCGCTGCAATCTTCTATGGAAATCTTTGAACATGGTTGACCCTCCAGATAAAACAATATTCTGAACTTCAACAAGTGCACAATATATATCACACTCGCATAGAAAAGTACGTTCACACATAACTTGAGTTAATTCAAGATACAAGGAACCTTTTTGTTGATCAAGAACTGAATCACTAATGAACAGTTCTATGGAGTTCAGTAACAAAATTACCTTATATAAAGCTCTTCTTGTGTCTATTGGTGCAGACTGAATACATTTGTCAATCACCTCAGGTAAAGGGTTCGTAAAATCACTATTATAAATCTCAGGACTGAAGAAGACCTGTGAACACAATTCATCAAGACAACTTATGAATAAAGCATCTGAAACCACCATAAAAAAATCCTACTTCAATCCAACTCTATGTTGATTAAGGTCCAAAGCTCCGTTTTCCTTTATTTTAATTTCTACCATACGGCCACACCCATAGTGGTCGCCAGACTATCGTTCAGCATGACTCGAGCACCAGACCAGTAAGCCAAGTCAAGAGGCTTCCCCTCAAAGTCAAATGAGCATGGATACTATCTTGATTTCTTCAATTAACTTGGGTATTTTCATTGAACTAGAGTAAAGAAAAAAAGCTACTCCGTGCAAAAAAAAACATAGGGTTTGAGCTAACTTGTCTGAACAATTCGAGAGATTTGGCTGAAACCTAAATTGCTTGGACTCGGGTGCGGGTACCCGATACAGGTGCGGATCTAGAGGTTGGATCCATCATGATCTAAAATTTAAGATTTGGGGGTACGAATCCAGGTACAGATGCAGTGCAGGTATTAGGCTAAAATAATTCAAATTTCTAAAAATAGAGTTATTGTCTATATTATGAGACATAATGGAAAACTTACAAGGTATAATGAGGAAAAATATAGATCAAGAGGAGAATCCCAAAAAGTGATATAAGGAAAAGGACTGACATTGAAATATCTATATGCAAGGTACTCCATTTTCTTTGACCCATCTTGTAGGCTAACAACTAACAAGCACATTGAAATCAAAACTATATAGCTCAAGAGATTGAGAAACTTGAAGCTAGAGGATAAACCAGACCTCAGGACCAAGAAATCGCTCATAGCCAACATCACATGAATAAGGTGCTCCTGTCTTTGGTTTTGTACCTCTCCAGTGCTTGATGTACTTCCCTGGCTCTTTATCATGCTTATTGAACTCCTGAAATCATTTGACAATAAGGACCTATTACAAGCAAAAATCAGTTGTAACCTCCAGCCTCAGATGCAAACAAGGATTGTGAGTTTAAATCATGGCATGATTTGCTTGCCCTAATTCACAGAAATGTCGAACAGATGAGTCAAGTTTGAGAACTGGATGGAAGAACAAGAGGAACTGGATGGATTATCAGAAAGAACTTCAATTTTTTTTTTTTGATGACCATGGTGTCCAGCCCAGCTTAATCTACTCTTTCAACTTATTCCTTTTTACTCCTTTTATATAGTCTCGTACAAATAGCTAATACCTTCACAATGTCAGAACAAGTGTAGCAATGCATTTCCTTCACTTTTCGTGCTATTTCAAAGGAATCTTCTGCTGGAACATGTTCTCCCCTTTCCTGCATTTGAATAATCAAAATAAGTTGTTATCTTTTGAAGCTTGATCAAACAATGAGATACCATCTTAGAAACTCAAAGATAGACCTCAAACACCCAACATGCTCATATCTGAGTTGTGGCTAGGGGTGGGCATAAATCACCGAAAACGGTAAAAAATACAGAGCCTAACCATGAATTTCGGTGTTATCGAGCCGAACCAGGAATTTCGGTAGTTTGGTAAGCATAAATCACCGGAAACTGAAAATTACCAAGCCTAAACGGGAATTTTGGTATTATCGGGCCGAACAAGGAATTTCAGTATCCAGTAATTCGGTAACCAGTATGTTTTTTATGAGAAAATTTCAAAATTTTGGTGGTCAGTTTTGGTACCTGGTTCCAGGCAGCCGGTATTCAGTACTACCAACTTGTAATTCTGTTTCTTGATTTCAGTTATCTGCTTCGCTGGTTCAAGCAGATGCTATTTTTGTTAGTTTTAGTTTTTTACATGCTAGTCAGCAATGTGATTGTATGTAGGAACATGACCAACTCTTTTTGAGAAATCATCATGTGCTCTGTAGAAGTCTCAATTTCAACAATTTTGTCCTCTTCAATTTTGCGTTAAGAGATAATTGCAATACTCCACCCTGTCATAATATTTTTTCTTCAACACGTTATTACCGAATTATTAAACGGGTACCGAAACCGAACTTTGATAATACCAAAGACTCACCCCTAGTTGTGGCTACCCTACTAAGCAATTGGCAGTTTTAGATTTCCCACAGGTTAAGGACATCTTCTAATAATTGGGTAACATAAGGTTAAAGACGTTGATATTACAAATCAAGTAACCTTAAGCGGTACTTCTTAATTCAAGCAACTATGATCCGAGCACTGGAGAAAAAAACTTCTGCATGACAAGTCATAGGAGAAACAATCACTAATTATCCAATCTTCTTTACTCTCCAGGAAATTTTTTCTAAACAATCGTTAAACTGATAAAATATTTCATAGTAACCCCATCATTAATTTCCATTTGGATACGATAAAAAAAAAATCCAAATAAACTAGGAAAAAAAATTTCCTTAATATTTTTCAAATTGTAGTAGGATAAGCATTTGTTAATACATTCCTTGGTTTTAAAGTTAAAATGAATAAAGGGTCAACAATACCTCCATCGATGATATTTTATGATTTGAAATAATGTAATAATTTTTCTTATTTTATGTCTGTGAGAAATATTGGAGAAGAATATTATTGAATTGTTGTCTACATTATTACACAAAGACCATATTTATAGACACTACAATACAATCTTTTACCAAGTAGGATACTATTTACTATTCTTATTCCTATTCTAAGTATGATTGTATATACCTATTCCTATTCTAACAATCCCCCTCAAGCTAGTGCATACAAATTATATGTACCTAGCGTGTTACAAATATAATTAATACGAGGACCGATGAGGGGCTTGGTGAGATATTTGCACGTTGATCACTCGACTTCACAAAATTGACAATCAATCTCAATGTGCTTAGAGCTTGTTTGGATTGGCTTAAAAGTTGGTCAAACCTACTTGTAAGTCATTTTTAGCTTTTGAGAGTGTTTGGCAAGGTTAAAAATAACTTAAAATAAGTTTTAAATGACTTAAAAAGAGTTAAAAACCAAAAGTGGAACTCCCTTTGCTTTTTATTTTGACTTAAAAGTCATTTAAGTTTGACCTTTTTTTTTTACTTAAAAACTACTTTTTTTTAAGTCAATTCAAACAGAGCCTGTTTGGATTGGCTTAACAATTGGTCAAACCTACTTTCAACTCATTTTTAGCTTTTGGGAGTGTTTGACAAAGTTAAAAATAACTTAAAATAAGTTAAAAACCAAAAGTAGGACTCCCCCTACTTTTTATTTTTTGACGTAAAAGTCATTTAAGTTGGACTATTTATTTTTGACTTAAAAACTACTTTAAGCCAATTCAAACGGGCTAGTTTTCTCATGAAATACTAGATTTGATGCATAATGTCAGTCTATCTCAATGTGTTTGGTCTATCATGGAATACTGAATTGGATGCATAATGTCAATAAAACACAGAGTGATAAAATTACAGTGTTGAACTTCCCAAACCAAGCTTGCAAAGATTGTTTCAGACCATAAAGTGACTTACATAATCGACATACAAGGATACTAAACTCCTCCGAGCAACAAAATTAGGTGGTTGCTTCATATAGACTTCTTCACAATGCAGTGGTTGCCAGAAAGTGCTCAAAATCTAGTATAAAGTATATGGATAGTGTTGGAATCAATATACGAGTTGCTAAAACATGCTCATACGCCGGAGTATTAGATTTGATGGCTGAAAGTGGACACAATCTAAGAAAAAAAATATATGGGTAGGATCAGAATGATAGCACAATACAACTGAAAAATAGAAATTATATAGGAAAGGTCGGATTGACGGCACGACCCTATCGAAAAAGAGAAATAATATGGGTATGATCGAAATGATGGCAGGACCCTACTAAAAAGAGAAATCATATGTGTAGGGTCAGAATGATGGCACAATCTTACGCAAATCAGATTTGAGTCATCGAAAAGAGGAATGGAACTACGCCAAATTAAATTTGAGTCATCGAAAAGACACATGGTTAGGGCTGGGCATTCGGTATTTTGGTTCGGTTTCGGTTTTTTTTCGATTTTTGGTTTTTGGAATTGTTGTACCGAACACTGAACCGAATTCGGTTCAGTTCGGTTTATTAAGTTCAATTTTTTTTGTTATGGGCCTGCTGGTTGTCGGTCTTTCATCACGGTGTTGGTGATGGTGTGGAACTTGAACCGAAATAGTAACTTGGAAAGTTGGAAGAGAAGCCGAAGCTATTAGCAAAAACCTACCAAAAGTTGGAAGAGAAGCAGGAGCTTGGGAAGTGTGGCGGAAAATTGGAAATTGAAAAGTGAAAACCTAATACTAAGTGCTACTGCCAACTGATATAATATTTATTATTTAATATTAAATATTATTAACATTTAATTGCATAATATATTATAATATATATTATTAAATATTAATTTTATATATATATATATATATATATATATATATGTATATTTTGGTTAAACAAAAATGCCGAAAATACAAAAACATGTCGAAAACCGAACCGAAATACCAAATACACGAAAACACATACCGAAAACCGAAATACCAAAAAGATTTGGTTTGGTTTTTCACGGTGCTATGCAACTCAGTTATGAGAAAGTAGTTTAGAAAAATCCACCATAGTAGGCAAATGAAATATGAAAAGTAATTGGGGAGATGCACGATGCTACACAAATCAGATATGAAAAAAAAAAATAGTCACCTAAAGGATGGCACAATGCTACACAAATTAAATATGAAAAAGTAGTCACTGAAAAGATGGCATGGTATTACGAAAATCAAATATGAAAAAGTAGTCACTGGAAATATGGCACGGTGCTACACAAATTAGATATGAGAAAGTAGTCATGAAAAGATGACACGGTGCTACATAAATTAAATATGAAAAAGTAATCACCAGAAAGATGACACAGTGCTACACAAATACCGACGGATATGGGGTTGACACAAAACACCCCTAGAAAGTCACCAAAAATTGACGCACGGCGACTTGTCTGACTGAGTTATCTTTCCTGAAAATGGGGTTCATGCATATATCATTGGCCCTACTTTTGTTAACATAATCACTGGCCAGACGGGCGGCATATATGTGTAATAGCCACCCGCCGACGGCGGAAGCTTTTGATTCTCTACCAAGTTCGTAGAGGCCATGATACCATGTGAGAAATATTGGAGAAGAATATTATTAAATTGTTGTCTACATTATTACACAAACTTTATTTATAAACACTAGTCACTACAATACAATCCTTGACCAAGTAGGATATTATTTACTATTCCTATTCCTATGACCATTCTTATTCCTATTTGTATTCTTATTCTAAGTAGGATTGTATATACATATTCCTATTCTAACAATGGCATTAGCAAATCCCTTATTAAAAAATAAAAATATTTTCTATTTTATAAGAATTTTTTTTTATCATTATCTAAATGAAAAATAATGATGGGTTACTATGATCTTATACTTATGACCTATATTATAGGTTAAAACGTACATGAGACTTAGCTACTTTAATTAATAAACGACATTAAGAAGAAAAAAATTACTTCCCACTTTTTTATTAGTTAAAAGAGATTTTAAAAGAAAAGAAACAAGGAAAGGGTTCTTTAAAATTAATATTTTTATTAGGAAAAAAATGTGTTTAAAAGAAAAAAAATATTATCGGGAAAAGGGCATTTTTGACCCAATTAAGTAACCAATAGGGAGGTACTTTTAGGGATATCAGATAAAAAAGTAACAATAGCGGCATTTTTGGGTCAAACTATTAAATGGGGGAATTTTTAGACCAAGTTAATTAAGGAGAGCATTTTTGTTTAATTTTTTTGCATAATTTAAGGGCATTTTTTACCCTTTTCCACAAGAAAATAGTAACACAAAATAGCAGTGTTGGATAATGATTGTGATAAAGATTAATGCTATAATGCATCAACTCGATTTTCAAAGTAAAGAATTGCACGACAGATCCAGGATTTGAAGGTTACGCGGGTGCCACGGTCTTTAATATAAACATAGTGATGGACATCAAATTAGGGCGTTTCGATCCATTTTGGGCTAATCCAGGTCGATTTACAAGATTTTTAGTACATAAATAAATATACGATTATCTAACCAAAATGAGTTTTATACAATTCAATCAAATTCTATTGAACAAAAATGAGAAAAATATGAACGAAAAACTAATTTTTTTGAATAGGCAATTACAACCCTCCAATTCAAATATAATGTACTTGAGTCATGATAATTAACAAATTGTAACTTATAATGAGTTCTATTTTTATTTTTATTTTTAAAAAAGAGCCAAACCAGTTTCTATAAGAGAGATCTCATCAACTTTAAGTAAAGACAAATATTTTCATTTCAGAAATTCACAAATTATCTAATACAAAACATTAATAAAATAAATTAATTTGCGAACAAAAACAAAAACTCTTTAAAAGTTGCAAAAAGAAATTAATAAACTAGCACAAAACGATCCTTGCCCCTGTTGCTTTCATTTAAAAGATAAAGAAATGAAATGATTGAAACTAGGTATTGCTATTATTAGCATACTCATTTGACTAGAGGCTTGTGTGCTAAAGGTTATATATACAGCCTATTCCTACGTCTTTATTTTCATCTCCGGGACAGTTGGAACTCCATGGGATTTATAATACCAATAACATTGAGACACAAAATTCAGGACATCACAATCCTATGTTATTCATTCGACCCCGATAGATCAGCAACAGTCAAAGGAAAATAGTGAACATGCATAGTCTACTCAACCATTTTTATGGAAATGTTGTACTGATGGCAAAGAGAAACAAGAACTACATACCTTCATAAGCTGTTGAACAAAGAGAGTAACATCTTTCCCAGAAACGGGAATTGACTTAATGCTGCTCCCAATAACATAACCCTCAGCAACAGGTACAACATGGGTAGCACCATCTCCAATATCCACTACGACTCCAGTCATCTCACACTAAAGAAATAGCGTATAACAATTACAAGATATGTCAAATTGTTAGACCACAATTAAGTTCAGTTTCTGGAATAATGGAATGCAAGAAACCTATGATCATAAAGAAGAGAACGGATACACAGGATATTATGTCAAGCAACTAACGAACATACAAAGTTATTGATTTACTCTAGTGATACTATGTCTATCATAGATGTTCTAGATTCTTTATAGCTAGACAAGGAAGACACTAGAGCTCTATTGTAAACATGGTTTCAGTACTACCCAAGTACTGTTTTGATCCCTGATATAATAAAAAGTTACTGATTTCAAAAAAAAAAAAAACTAACGAACATACTAAAGGTTGACATGCAACCCAGTACTCTCTGAATAGCTCAATGTTCATATTCCCATTTTCCACTAGAAAAGAAAAGGGATAATTTCAGAGACCTCCCTCCAGGTTTCGCTTACACTCATCTCCCATGTGGTTTACGATATTACGTCTACCTCCCTTATTTTCATTTTCTTGTAACCATTCTTTAAACCTATTTAAAATAAATATAAATTAATTTAGATTTGACAATTTTACCCTTCTATATGCAAGCTTAGATCTAATTTTCAACGATTTATCTCTATTTCTTGGATCATTTTTCTTCTTCGCTCGTGGAAATGTTTAACTAGAACAAAATCTGATCGTTCTTATCGGATTTCTCTCTTGGGGAGTTCATTTTTATCTTCGATTTGAAGAAATTGTTGCCGGAAAATGATGGGTTATTGTGGGGGAAAGAATCATCAGTGAATTGGTAAAGGTAAAATGGAGATGAAGAGTTAATATTTGGTGAAAATGGTGGGTCAGCTTGAATAAAGACTTTGATCTTTGTTTGATAAAAAAACACGTGTATATATATATATAATAGTATTAATGTATTTGTGCTGATTTATTTTTAAAGTATTTGTTAAATGAGTTATTTTTTATATAATATTTATTAATATATAGAAGGGTAAAATTGTCAAATCTAAATTAATTTATATTTATTTTAAATAGGTTTAAAGAATGGTTACAAGAAAATGAAAATAAGGGAGGTTGACGTAATATCGTAAACCACAGGGGAGGTAAGTGTTATAGAGCGAAACCTGAAGGGAGGTCTCTGAAATTATCCCAAAAGAAAATAATGAAGATATTAGGTTGGAACAGACTCCTTGGCCATTACTTTCCTTGACATGACAAAGATACCAGTTCATGTCATTGAGAAAAGACATAAAAGCTATTCTGTTTGACATACTGGGGAGTGCATACAGGAAGTAGATGAACTTAAACCAGAACGACTCTTTCAGTATGAGGATATTGATGATTAATGGTGCCCTTACAATCAGAATGCTAGCTTAGGTGACAAATTTCGCTGGAATGTAATTTGATTCTGGTTTACAAGGTTCAAATTTGTTTGTAGATTTGTTGCATTCCCTGAAGATTACACACTTTTGGAAAAGGTATAAGGCATATGCACACTGCATAGGCGATGCTACAGTACAGTGCAGCTGAGACCAGTCAGCTTACAAACTGTTTGGCCTTATTTGCTTTACCCAACTTCATATTTTATTTGGTGTGGCCAGCATTTCACTTCATTTGTTTGCATATCATGGCTGCGTCTTGAGCGTTTATCTGTCCTTTTGGCCATGTAAAGGCTCAATTGGCACACCATGGGAGATGTGTATGTCATGAGGGTAATCAATGTTTGATCCCTTTACAGGACAAGTTCAATTATGATGAGGCTGTAGAGCCATTATTTGCTTGAATGATTCAGCATCACATTTAAAAATGCATAATTCATGATGGTACAGGACCGCAAGAAATCCCAATGCATGTGATTGGTGGTACAACGATGACCGTATCCCCCTTATGTGTTTGAATATAGTTATGGGATATGAGATGGTTTGTTGCTCGGTACAGGGTTTAAGGCATTTTGGATGCGGGTCAAATCAACCCTAGATTTGGGGAGTCACATCTAACCTCTTAACTTTATTATGGGGGGATCAAACTATGCCATTGAAGAGGAAATATGTATTTTTTATTTTCCTCCAGCATTTCACTCTTACATTACCTGCTTGCCTCATATTGTACAATTCAAACCAAACTTCCTATCTACAACTAGAGTCACGGTGTCCTTTCCGAGTTAAAGTATGCCAGAGCCCATTCGTGCTTGTAACCTTAACTCAGGCCAACCAACAAGAAAAGCAGAGAAACACAAAAATACGTCGAATAAATTCTTCCGTCTTGCCAAACCAACTAATAAAAGCAACCGAACTTTCCTAACACCACAATATCCTATTATAACCATCTCCAGTCACTTAAACCAAGAGAAAAATTAAAGGGAAAAAGAAAAAGGAGGGGCGGGAAGGGGGGAGGATAGCAAGAGGGAAAGCTCAACTCGAGATGCAAGACAAGCTAGCTAGGGCTTTCATACAATGATTACTTTGACGGTGGCCTTCAAGGATTCATTTATCAATCTTGCTAAGTTGATTTGGATTTCTAAAATGACATAATTGTTGAATTTTTTCTCTCTACTTTGATAAATCAGTAGTTCGATTGAGTGAAAGGGAGACTTCCCGCATACAAGGTTCATATAAGAATAAAGGATCTTTGTAAAAGAAACCAATCATCTATACTAATTGGAATATAGTGAAAAGCTTTCTCTTTGTATGCAATTTTTGTTCAAAATTATGACAGCAACTAGTTGAAAAAGTATAAGAATATAATCGGGAACCTTTGAGGCGACCGTTTATCCACCTATCTTGTTAAAGTGAGTACAATTGCCTCTTGAAAAAAAAATCAATCTTGTGATGGGCAGTGTCCTACATGCTGGCCATGTCAGAGGCTCATCAGATTCCACATTATTTTTTGACATGCCTATTGGGTGGTAGCTCTGTAGGTACCCTTCACTGCCTTGGATTTGAGTTACTACACAAATTTTAGTTCCAGACTAAAATGAAAGATTACATCAATTAGACTCATTATAAAACTATCAAGTTGGTCATGAATTAAGTCATCTTGATCTTGGCCAAAATTCATTCTTCTTGGGCTTGTTGGGCTTGGTTGGTGAGTTTCTTTCATGTCTAAGTTTTGGGCTTAAAATATAGTAGAGCTCTTGAACGTGTCTTCTAAGGTTTTTAACTCATATTCACCGTAAGACATTTCTTTTTTTGAACTAAAAGTCCATAAGTTTTTCCTGAAGTTACTTAGCATGTGATCTTGTCAATGGCTTTCTACGAGTTCAAAACCTTGGCATTAGCTTCTTGAGGTGGTGTCTTTCCTCGAAAACAATCTATTTCAAGCACAAATAATAGTCATGGAAGAAGCCAACCCAATCAACTCTAATGAGGCCCAAGAAGAATAGATTTTAGCCTAACCCTAGAGACTTAGTTCATGACCAACTATAATGAGTCCAATTAATGCTATATTTTATTTTGTCTTGAAACTAGAATTTAAGTAGTCGGCCTTGTGATTAATTGTTTGACAAGAAATTATTTTGGATGCTGTTTGACTAGTATTCCTTAAGGAAGTAGGATTTGGTTACTTGTATGACTAGAACTCCTTAAGGAAGGATGATTTGACTTATACTTAGGTTACTTGTTCAACTAGTTTGCTTATAATAAGACCATTCATTCTTCCCTTCATAAGGAAAAAAAGAAAAGATATAGGACCATTCATTCTTCTACAGGTATGTCTCCTTTTGAAGTTATTTATGGTTTAAATACCCCTACTCCTATTGATTAACTTCCATTACTTGAAAATGACATTGCTAGTCTTGATGGTATGACGAAACCAAAGTAATGAAAAAAGATCCACGAGCAAACTCGCCTTCTAAGTTACTCGGACTCTTCACTTTTGGTGCCGCACCCGTGTCAACACGACATGGGTGTGGGTGTGGAATCCATGTCCGAATTGGTCAACCGATTTTGGGTACTTTGATGAAAATTGATGGGGAAAGTCTGGACAGTTTTACATTCTGGTTGGATCATTGTTACCCATTGTATTGTATTGCATCGCTACTATACCTACAATGTTTGTTTTGATTGTTACTTAAAATGTATTGTATTGTATTGTTAAATTTCATTACGTAACAATGAAAACCCCTATTTTATGGAACAACCGATTTGGTGTGTTTCCATTGTTACTTAATTTCTTTTTCCAATTATATCTTTACATAATATTTCAAAATACTATTTTACCCTTTACCTTATATTATTTAATTCTAGTCAAACCTCCTACCCTAGAATAATTAAGGATATTTTAGTAAATTTATAAATTATAATACAGTACGATACAATCAAACCAAACAATTATAATGTTATTAAACAATAACAAACAATACAATCTAGCCAAACATTGTATCTACCATACAGTACAGTACAATAGAGTACAATACAATACATTATGAAACAATGGGTAACAATGATCCAAACAGTGTTAATGATTTTTGTAATCAATACAAAAGCTAAGGTGAAATTGAAGAAAATGGAATACCTTTTATATAGAAATTTCTATGTCACTCTTTTTCCTTTAATCTCCTTCCAGGATTTTCCTCAATTTCTCCATATGATATCTAATTTATAACTCTATTTTAGATAGTTTAATTATTTTTAGGCGAATTCCCGCACCTGTATCTATACATGGATCCATATTCCCGAATTCTAAAAATTAGATCATGAAGGATCCGACCTCTAGGTCCGCACCCGTATCGAACACCCGCACCCGAGTCCGAGCAAGTTAGCTCGCTTTCATATTGAGAAAAAGAAACACCAAACAACCTTAAGAGTAAATAACAATGGAAAGAAAATCACTTCCCAGCTTGGTGATTGGGTTTAGGTGCATATGTGCAAGGTGAGGTTTCCTAGCAAACGAAATCCAAGTTGCACCTAAGACGGTATTTGTCATTTGAAGTTCTTCAGAAGATAAGAAATAATTTCTATAAGTTAAACCTTCCTAGTAACTACCAATTTAGCGGTGCTTTTAAGTAGTTGATCTTTTCTTTTTAACGTGGGTCCCAATTTGAGAGGGAAATTTCACGGGAGATTGATAGCCACCAAGGGAAGACACCAATTCAAGAAGTTAAAGGTCAAGCTTTGGAATCTTCTAGAAGGCCATTGACGAGATTACAAGCTAAGGAACTTCAAGAAAACTTCCTGGACTTCAATTCAAATAATGAAATTCTAATGGTGGAAGATGACTTATAACCTTAGAAGACAGGTCCAAGAGCTTTAATATATCTCAAGCTCAAATAGAAGAAATGGAAGAAGTTGACCCGACAAAGTCCAATGAGGCCAAGGAAGAAAAGGTTAAAAGCCAGTTCCTAGAAGACTTATTTCACTATCAACTTGATAATTTAATAAGAATCTAATTGATGTAATCTTATATTTTTGGTCTTGGGCCTAGAATTTGAGTAGTTATCCTTATAATTGCTTGTTTGACTCTACTAATAATCTTTTTGGAGGGTTGTTTGACTAATAATCCTTTTGGAGATTTGTTTGACTAATATTCTCAAGTATGATTTGACTTATTTTCCTTTATTTTTCTTTTTGATAAATGTGGTGTCCAGGGTAGCTTGTGTGCACCTCAACTAATTCCAGGGGACATCTACCACCTCTTACCAGCACTAGATACCTTGTAAGTCTATCCACTAAGACTAGGGCATATTGGAAGAAATCACTAGTGTTCTTTGTCGTTGTTGGGATTTGAACATGAGATGTCATTGTTGTCAACCCACTTCATTGACAACTACACCACACCCTTCGGTGCTACTTATACTCCTTTTTGGTTGCTACTCATCAAAAAAATGGCATGATATCTCAAGACCCACCCACCCCCCACCCCCAAAACTCCACTCCAAAAGACAGCTCAAAGCTCCGGCCAAACATCATCACACTAGTCACATATCCTCATATAGCTCCTTTTTTTCCTTTTTCTCCTCCCTCGACCAAAAACTATTTCCGCTCAATCCCTCTATTATATGTTCTTCCTCTTCAACTTTTTCAATAATCTATCTTTTGCCTCCTTCAGACCCTGGTTGTTTGCTTTCCCCAAAATTGACCAGTAAACATTTATTCCCTAAAATAGCATATCAACTCATTTTTCAAAGTTCCTTTCTTCTAGTCTCACCAAAGGCGATAAGGTGCTTCTGTTTAACAATTGGATAGTTTAAATTACATGAAAGCAAGTTTTAACGGGTAGAGAAAACCCTGCTCCCACCCCCACCAAAAAATAGCACTATTAGTAGCATATGTCAAGGTAAATTACCTTTATAAATGAGTAGGTCACATACACACTTCCCTGACCCTAGGACACTAACATCAATACATCATTTTTCGGATATTGTTCCAAATAAAGGACATGGCATCATGCTGCCAATGTTTGTTCTTATTTTCTACCACCAACCTAAATTTGCAGTTGTACAAGAGACAGGCACCCTTTTTCAGAGTTTACACTCTCATATCTTGGGCAACAATCTGAATCTCAGAAACATAACAAGCTTTCCACTAAGCACATCAATTTGTTCACTTTTAATCATTTTATGAATGAATACATGAGTGAAGCTAGTCCTAATATTACGAGAAATGAAAGCCTATTACACAATTAACTTTCTCTTAATACTCTAGTCAAGAAAGCTACTTGCTAAGCAAAAGGTTTGTTGAACAAGGTTAACAAAATTTTACAGACCAATTAGATCACAAAAATATCAATACCAGAAAATATCCGACCCCCATATACATCAAAATCCAGAAAACAACAGGAAACAAAGTTGTTTAAGATAGAGTACCAACCTTGGATGCTGTGTACCCAGCTGCCAAAGCAAGAACCGGCTGCACAGCTATATAAAGTCCCGGAACATTGAAAGTCTCAAACATAATTTCACCAGTATATTCTCGGTTCTCTGGTGCAGTCATAGGGCTTTCAGTCAATAGAAAATAGTGATCCTCAGGGTCACAACGCAGGTAATTGAATATACACTGCTGCCAGAACCGCTCCATTGAATCCCAGTTATCAACTTGTCCATGTTCAATAGGATAGGTAAGATTGTAATTGCTACTAGATTTAGATCTGGTCAAAGCCTCATCCCCAATAAAGAAATCAAGATCCGCCATAACCCCTGCACTGTGCTGGGCGAACCAGTTGCTGTTCTTAGTCAAAGCTCGAGGCTGATTAACAAATGATTCGTTAGCTGCAACAACTGTAGGTAGTATGAAACATGGCTCCACATTTCCAGCAAAACCAATTTTTGTATACCTGAAAATAAGAGAAATTTGGAATCAAAAACGTAATTGGGTTGAAAAAACTGAATCAAACAGGTTGAGGGTGATGTAGAATGAATACCCGGTTCCATTGTCAATGACTACAGCAGGGCGAGAGGTAGAAGGGTCCATAAGGATTGAAGAAGAAGGAGATGATCTGCGGTTGAGATCCAAAGAGAGGTTTAAAGGGTATAATCATGGTCGTAGGAGGAAGAAAGGGGGTGAAAACGACGACGTATAAGGTAGGAAAAAGGTGATGACGACGGAAGTACCGATGGTAGAAGGGTTCAATTCATCCATTTCCATTTCATTGAATAAGGCAAACAAACAATTTCGAATTCATTGAATAAGGCAAGCAAACAGTTTCAAATTCATCGTCTAGTGTGAGATTCTGCTCTTCTTCAATTTTGTACTTTTTCTAATTGAATTTGGATTCCTTTCTTAGCAATCAGACAACATGTTTGCTAGTATTTCTCGATTGTTGATTGGGCTTTACTTTGTTCCAACTTCCATGGCAGGTGGCTATTGTAATTAGGAAATTTTAACAAAAATATTTGGGTCGGGTTTTTCAAATATCAAATCATTATTATCAGATAGGAAAATTTCAAAATCAGCAAACTTTAGGCCTTAATTAGGAATTTATAGTTATAGTTTACTTAATTACGGATAACAACAAAATATTAGGGGAGGAGAGAGGCGAGCGAGATATGAGAGAGAGATGAGAGATGGCATTTTTCATGGATTTTGGAGAAAAAATTATAAGTACAAACCAATTTGTATCAAAATTAATACACATTAAGAGGAGAGAGGCAAGCGGGATCGAGAAAGGAAGGAGAGAGGCGAGCGAGATCGAGAAAAGGAGGAAAGAAGCGAGCGAGATCTAGAGAGGGAGAAGAGAAGATGGTAAGTTGATGAGTGGTAGATTTACACTCGTTTAGGGCATTTTTAGTTCAACAATTAGTGTCCTCAATGCCTAATTATGTCTTATTCTAATGTTAGTTTGATGATTTGCGACTATAAAAACTAAAGGACAAGGCAAGGATGAATGCATAAAAGAAAGGTCAACAACATTGAAAGAAGTGTAAACTCCACACTGGGAGTTGCCTAACCAAAAGGGTGGATCGACCAAATGACATGACCTCGTCTAAAGTGGCAGTGCTCACAATCGAAGACAATCGAGGCAGGTCGGTAAACCAAAAGTGAAACGGCGACTCGTCAAAAATGAAGGGCGAACAAGATGATCATTGCCAAAGGTGATAGGACATGGATGAAGAATAAGGTTTAAAAAGCAAACAAATGTGGTAATCGGCGATCCGCTGAATATGAAAGGTAGATTCAAATGAGTTCGCCAACTAAGGTTCAAACACTTGAAGCCTGAAGAAAATGAAAGGGGAGTTGAGGAACAAACGACGATCCTTCGATCATGTTCGACGAGCCCGGCTAATATCGCTAAGTTGGTCATGCAGTGAATTTTGGGCAAAATTTTGGGAAACTATAAATAGCCTAAAGGAGATAGAAAATAGAGGGTGGGATTTGCGTATTTTTCAGAGCTTTTGGAAAAATTCTTAGAGAGTTGTGTATGAGATATTATACTTTGTGAAAAACATTTTAGTTTGCGATTTTCAATTCTACTCTTGCAATTGACAATTGGAAGTTGAAATCAAAGTGGGTGTTGATTATAATAGCTAAATTTCATCACATCCATGGTTGTTATCGTGACAGGTATAATTTCTTTACTTTTTGTGGTGAGTGGCTAAAATCCCAAGTCTAGGGTTGCAATTATGGAGTTGGGTGTTAATTTAATGTAGTGGTATTGTGTTTGATCTATTTTATTATTATTCATTCATGGATTTAGGCTAAATAGCATGAGGTTAACTTATGGGTTAAGGTTGCAAACTTAATCCTATTTTCGATCTCTGATTGATGCTTGAAAGAGATTGATTGGGGTGGGTAATTAGTTTGATGCAAGCAATTAAGGTTTGATTTCTATAGTTTGCTTGAAAGAGGAATATGGTCCATATCTATTTACCCTAAATTTGTTCGAAAGAGAAATATCGTAAGGTAATGGGTTGTTTTGTTATTCACATAGATGAGACCAAAAGGAGATTCTATGAACTGATGCTATGAGACAGAAAGAAGATTAGTGTCATTCGATGACCTATCATATCCATGATTATTTAACACTATTAAGAAATACAATTACCCCTGTGTGATATCGATTTCAATCCCCGCACCCTTAAATTACTTGTTAAATTACTTGAATTTCTGAATTTTAGTTTAATTGTGACATTTGATACTATGAATTCTTTTAGTAAATTTGGTGGAATCATCCACTCATTTATCTTAATGTACTACAATGAACAAGTCCACATTCTTGATTTCTTAGTTTTATTCTTATCATTATATCATTCTTTGTGTGATTAGGCCCCAACTCTTAGTTGGGTATTTTTATTGACAACGTCTGCTTACTCTTTGAATTTACTTTTTACGAGGGGTCGTTGCCGAGGAATGGTGGCTAAGAATTCAATTAGCGAAGTTAGTTTATAGCCTTGTTGAATTGTAGTAGATTGTTGCTTGACATTGTTGTGTTGTGGATTTGCAGGTCTAAATACCAGTGAAAATGGTAGTGACGATGCTAGTCACTACTAGCAGAACGACCAAATGGGTGACACAAATGACATGCACATGAATGTCATTGCAACCAATGGAGCTATCTGGTTACCACCTACAACGGGGAGGGTGATGTTCCATGTAACTGGAACAATGTTACAACTTTCCAAATGAGAGGAATGTTTGAAGGATTGGCTCATGAAGATCCTCATGAACATATTCAAAATTTTATGAATATTTGTGGGTCGTTCGTCTTCAAAAACATCTCACAAGAGTCCATAAGATTGAGATTATTTATGTTCTTTTTAACGGGGAAGTCATAAAATGCTCGGCGGAGTTGCCAAATGATTCTATTATTTCTTGGGAGGAATTAACTGATACATTTTTAGAGATACTATTTCCTCCTTCGAAAATGGTCAAACTTAGGGACAACATTCAGAACTTTAAAAGAGTGGGAGGTGAACCGCTTCATGAAATATGATTGTGGTTCCAAAAATTGCTTCTACAATATTCAACACATGGTGTTCCAAATAATTTGTTATTGCAATACTTTTTTTATAGCCTTAATTCAGTCAACAAGGGTTTGGATGATCAACTTATCCAAGGTAGGTTATACGACAACCGTTTGATGTGGCAATATTGTTGCAAGATGATATGACAAAAGTTAACCGAGCATGGCATACTAGAGATGATCAAGTATCTTTTCAACAATGGGGCACAAGCAAGAAACAAATAGAGAAGGATCATGAGCGCGATGAAAACATGACTAAAATTGTCACGACCCGGGAGCACCCCCTAGTCGTAACCGGCGTACTCGACCTCGAAGAGGTCTAATACAAGCCTCTTAGCATTCATTCATCGCATAGACACCAAAACCATAAGGAATTAAAAACTTTCTTCACACACGAAGATACTTTCAATAAATAGCAAGCGGAAGACTTTCTAGACTTTATACAATATGTCTCAAAACCATCTAATACCTGAATATAACATTGGGACTAAGCCCACTCAAAACTTAAGCAAATACTAGAGAGACATAAAAAAAGGAACATGTTGGTTATTGCCCTCGAATCTATGAGGACTCACCAAGTCTTCATCTTCAACTCTTAAAAACCTAACAAGTAGCCATGACATATCACCATCTCCAAATCCCTACACTTTAGTCAAAAAGCGAAAGAAAGGGGTTAGCACAATTAAGTACTAAGTATGGAGACCATGCAAGAAAATATGCACAACGGACATTTACAAGAAATGTATGCTTTCATATCCTTTGATAAAACCTTTCCGTTACAAGTATAAGAGACATAATACAAGTCAACATTAACATATAAGACCATAGCCAACCATACATATACTTAACATAAATCCATATACAACCCATGCTTAACTTTAGAAGGACACATGTCATTTTATTACCATAGGACCTCTACCTAATATAACCTTAAGACACACTTGAGTGAGACAAGAAGTGACCGCCCACACGATCCTCTTCAAGCACACTTAAGTGTTCCCCAAGATTACCTTAGATAAGGACTTTATAGGCAACGTGCATAATCATACCCGATAGATAGCATATTAATGAGATGATATGTATAATGATGCTTACATAAAATAAATCATATTTAGTGGGGCGTAGTACATGTGTGGTGAGTGACCATCAATATAGTATTTCCAAGGCCTACCACCCCCTTGGAGAGGCGAAAGAGGTACAAACCCCTCAATGTGGTTACTCGGGCCTACCACCCCCCGAGCTAGGGACCAAGGTACAAACCCCTCAATATGGTTATACGGGCCTACTACCCCCCGTACTAGGCAACCAAGGTACCAACCCCTCGATATGGTTATACGGGCCTACTACCCCCCGTACTAGGCAACCAAGGTACCAACCCCTCGATATGGTTATACGGGCCTACTACCCCCCGTACTAGGCAACCAATTCCAAAATCCAAATAAATCAGCCCACCAACAACATACATATATATCAACCTTCATAATTTGATCATGGAAGCATGAAAACCATAAACATCACATAATAATTCCATTTCATGATAATATGCAAAATAGACCATAATAGGATGTGTAGTAGTAATTCCATAATTCAAGAGTTCATAAATAATCATAAGGACCCATAAACTTGAAGTAGAAATAGAGGATAAATGGTTGGACTTGTGGAAAGGAAGGTTTCCACAATCAAACCCACATACCTCAACTTGTTCACGAGTATATCAACCTTAGAAATACAATTACATAACTTATTTAACTTCTATTAGCTCAGTAATGATGACGTAAAATAGGATCATCATCATAAGTAAGCCTAGCATGTACAAATACAACTATGCTCCCAAAACAGGGAATCTGGCCAGCCTAGTACCTCATGTTGCATCTTAGATTTGAAAAGGAAAATGGCAGAACTAGACTTTATAACCTTCATGAAAGATGTAGATACATCTCTTAGGGTTGCAAACAAACAAGGATCACCGAAAAATATATTTTGTACAAAAAGATATAGTCAAGACACTAGCCGCTGGTCATGCAGGATTTCAATTCTCGGAATCTGGGCAGAACTTGCCCTATGTTGCGTCCCATATTTCGTATCCATAACAGTTAAATTAGAATTTTACATAAACATAAAAGTTGTAGGTATACGAGTTAGCTTTCCAAATCATATTTATTCACTGCAAACTAAGTTCTAGAGCAAGAGATATGCCTAAAATACCAAACACTATCCAGCTCAAAAACAGGTTTCGTCACTTACATCCGAAAGGAATGTCATATCCTATCGATTCATATTCAACAAAGCTTC